CCCTGTCTCCACAAAAAAATAAAACAATTAGGTGGGTACGGTGGCATGTGCCTGCAGTTCAGCACTGGGGAGGCTAAGGCAAGAGGGTCACTCAAGCCAGGAGTTCATACAGTGAGACAGTGAGCTGGGATTGCCCCACTGCATTCCAGCCTGGGTGACAGAGTGAAACCCTGTCTCAAAAAGAAGTGGAGGAGATATTTCCCTTAATCTGTGGGACAATGACCCCCATCTTCCAGTTTATATCCAAAAACCAAGCAATGCAGATACAGGAACAAGAATCCTGAATTAGGCTACAGGAAACGTAGATGTCAGCTTTAAGCAGTCATTTTAGCTTTCTGTCTCTGTGTCTTCAACTGTAAAACAAGGTGATTCACCTTACTTTACACCCTACACAAAAATTATGTATCAGAGGCTTAAATGCAAGACCTAAAACTGTAACACTTAAAGATAACATAGGAAAAAAAAAAATCTTCACAATGATTGAGTTAGTCAAGATTTCTTAGATACAACACCAAAAGCAAAATCAATAAAAGAAAAAAGTGATAAGCATCAAAACTCAAAACTTTTGTGCTTTTAAAAGACACCATTAAGAAAATGAACGAGGTCGGGCACAGTGGCTCACACCTATAATTCCAGCACTTTGGGAGGCCAAGGCAGGCAGATCACCCAAGGTCAGGAGTTCAAGAGCAGCCTGACCAACATAGTGAAACCCAGTCTCTACTAAAAATACAAAAAATTAGCTGGGATTGGTGGCGCACACCTATAATCCCAGCTACTCGGGAGTCTGGGACAGGAGGATCACTTGAACCCAGGAAGCAGAGGTTGCAGTGAGCTGAGATTACGCCACTGCGCTTCAGCCTGAGCCACAGAGCAAGACTCCATCTCCAAAAAAAAAAAAGTTAAAATGAAACAAGGCTAGGCGAAGTGGCTCATGCCTGTAATCCTAACACTTTGGGAGGCTGAGGCAAGCGGACCACCTGAGCCCAGAAATTAGAGACCATACTGGAAATGTGTTAAAACCCTGTCTCTACAAAAACACAAAAATTAGCCAAACATGGTGGCATGCACCTGTAGTCCCAGCTACTCGCAAAGCAGGGGTAGGAGGATCACTTGAGCACAGGAGGTGGAAGTTACAGTGAGCCCTGATCATACCACTACATACCAGCCTAGGTGACAGAGTAAGACTCTGTCTCAAAAAAAAAAAAACACAAAAACTACACTATCTCACAACTGTCATTCCAGCACTTTGGGAGGCTGAGATGGGCAGATCACCTGAGGTCAGGAGTTGGAGACCAGTCTGCCCAACGTGGTGAAACACCATCTCTACTAAAAATGCAAACATTAGCTGGGTGTGGTGGTGGGCGCTTGTAATCCCAGCTACTCGGAGGGCTGAGGCAGTAGAAGGATAATCGTTTGAACCAGGAGGCAAAGGCTGCAGTGAGCCGAGATCACACCTCTGCACTCCAGCCTGGGTGACAGAGCAAGACTCCATCTCAAAAAAAAAAAAAAACAGATAACAAAACAAAGAACCCAATAGGCAGTCCAAGTGGACAAAGGATTTGAATAGATATTTCACCAAAAAAGAGCTATGAAAGCCTAATAAATAAGCACATGAAAGGATGCTCAAAACCACAGTGAGATACCACTTCATAGCCACTAGGATGGTAACACACAAAAAGACAACAACTATAGAGAAATGAGAACTCTTATAATTACTAGCAGGAACATTAAATGGTACAGTTACTTTGAAAAACACTTTGGCAGTTTCTTAAACAGTTAAATTTGTGATACAACCCAGCAATTCCACTCCTGGGTATATATCCAAGGAAAATGAAACATATTCATATGAAGACTTGATGTGAATACTCACAGCAGCCTTATTCCAAACAGCCAAAAAGCAGAAACAATCCTACGTCCATCAACTGGTGTCCAATAAAAAGGAACCATGTATTGCTACGTGCTAGATGGATGAACCTCAAAAAGCATTATGTGAAGTAAAAGCAGCAGAACACAAAGGACTATATATTATATGATTACATTTACATAAATGTCCAGAAAGGGCAAATCTATACAGACAGAAAGTATATGTGATTGCCTGGGGCTGGGGGTGGGAACAGGGAGTAACTGCAAATGGACATGAGGCATCTTTCTGGAATGATGAAAATGTTCTAAAATTGGATTGTGGTGATGACGGAACAATCACATAAATTTACTGAGATTATTGGGTTGTACATTTTAACCAGGTAAATTTTATGTTACATAAATTATACCTCAAAATTGTTTTTTAAAAATTAAAAGATATTTATGCTAAGTGAAAGAAACCAAATATGAAACACCACATGTTATATGATCTCTTTTACATGCAATGTCCAAAAAAGGCAAGTCTATAGAGACAAAAAGTAGACCTGTAGTTGCCTAAGGCTGGGGGTGGAAAAAGGCATTAACTGTAAGAAAGCACAAGAGATCTCATGGGGATGATGGAAATACTCTAAAACTGGATTATGGTGATAAATGCACAACACAGGGAATTTACTGAAAATCACTAAATGTTACACTTAAAATGGGTGTATTTCACATGAAATTATACCTCAGTAAAGTTGTTTTAAATCTATGAAAGATGGTCACATCACATTGGCATTCCTAACCTTTTAAAAGCCATGGACCACTTTGTGTGAGGAACACTAACCCTATCCAGAAGACTGAGAAACTCCCTTTTGCCCACTCAGATATCCTATGGGTCCGAGGACACCAAATTAATAAATCACAAAATCTCTAGCGCCTTTGCAACTCTGAAATTCTTTGCTACCATAACAGCAAAGGCTTTGAGAATGACTACAACCATCCTCTTCACCCTAGAAAGATGGACACACTACCAGAAAAAACTCTTCTTCTAAAATGATAGGGAACCTCGTCTTTACTTATCTGACATCATTTCAGAATCTTCCATTTAATCCTTTCCTTCAATATGACAGTCTGACTAGGGGAACCAGAAGCAATCAATCAAGACTGGGAACTAGCTAACTGTCTTTAGAACCAAGCAGTACATGTCAAAGACCCACTGTGTAGCAAGGCACAGGCCCATGATGCGGCTTCCGCAAGATGTGATGTCTTTCAGATTACACTTAGTCCAGGTGTTTCTGTTTTGTTTTGTTTTTGTTTCTCCTACACAAACCAATATTACTTTAACCCCAGATGGTTTTAAAATAAGAGGCAAATAAAGTAAAAAACAAATTGTTTGGCCGGGCATGGTGGCTCACGCCTGTAATCCAAGCACTTTGGAGGCCAAGGTGGGCGGATCACCTGAGGTCAGGAGTTCAAGACCAGCCTGACCAACATGGCGAAGCCCCGTCTTTAAAAAAAATAATAAAAAATAAATTGTCTGACAAAGTTTTTTTTTTTTTTTTTTTTAAACACAGTGAAATAAACACTGACATCCCCAAGGCAGCTAAGGAGTCTTCAGTTGGTCTTTTATTGTAAAACTAATTTTAGTGCAGGATGCTGGCAAAGTAGACAATTCTCCTTCCTCCAATACACAGGGGTCTGCTCATGTCAGTTGGACTGAGCCTGTATGGCTAAACTCATCCTCTTTTGATTTCCAAGGTCACTGGATTATCGTTGAACAACAAATACTCCCCTCATCCCCAGTCCGCAGCTCCTCCCAATCCGTAGGCTTCTGTGAGTATTACAATCTATGTTTGTGCAAGTTTTGGTCTCTGCCAACTGGTATTCCCGGACCCCCTTCAAATCTTTTCACACACCAGCCCAATTTATCGGATCACGTCAAGGCACTCTTTGAGGGTCTCCAGCGATAAAATATAATTCCAAAGTCTGTACCAAGGCTGAGAAGATCCTTAAGCTCTGGCTCCTCCCTTCCCTCTTCTATCCCTGCCAGCCTTCCTTCAGGTCCTAAAACACATCAAGCTCTTCCCCTATTCAAGGCCACTGCATCTCATCATCCCTCAGTAAGGAAAAATCTTCCCGAGGCTCTTAATCCTCACTTCTTTTCATCCTTCAGGACTCAACTGCAATGTCATCGCTTCAGAAAAAGAATTTTCCTTTAAATCATCCTAACTAGATCTCCATGTTATTCTCTATCAGAACATCTTGTTTATCTCCTTCATAGCACTTGCCAAAGCCTCTTCTTTTTAATTCTTTTTCTTCTTCTTCTTCTTTCTTTTTGAGACGGAGTCTTGCTCTGTCGCCCAGGCTGGAATGCAGAGGTGCGATCTCGGCTCACCGCAACCTCCGCCTTCCAGGTTCAAGCGATTCTTCTCAGCCTCAGCCTCCCAAGTGGCTGGGACTACCGGCGCCTGCCACCACGCCCAGCTAATTTTTGTATTTTTAGTAGAGACGCGGTTTCATCATACTGGCCAGGCTGGCCTCGAACTCGTGACCTCGTGATCCGCCTGCCTCGGCCTCCCAAAGTGCTGAGATTACAGGCGTGAACCACCGCGTCCGGTCCTTTTTAATTCTTTGTGTCTACTTATTTAATATCTACCTCCTCGACTGGAAAGTCAGTTGGAAAGAGTCGGAAGTTGGGTCTAGGTTGCTCAGAGCGGTTCCTGCAGCTTCACCTGGAGGATCCCCAGCTACTAAAGCTCCTTTTCTATCCCACAATCCCATAAATCGATGGCTGTGGCCACAAGTTCAAGATCCCGTTTCTCCCACAGCCTCGGAAAGGCCTGTCCCACACCTGCACTTTCTTTCTCTACAAGACACATGGGTCGCTCCTGTCCACACATCTGAGAATATTGTACACAAATCTCTCCTGAGCCCCCTCAAGCCCCACCCCACCCGGCCTCACAGGCGCGCGCCTCAAAACCCCCTTCCCGTCTCACACGCGCTCCTCGACACATGCGTCCTACAAACCCCTTGCACGGCAAGCGCCCCACGAATTCCTATGAGGGCTGAGCTCCCCGAACTCCCGCGGCTCGCCACGTTCCCGCGTGTCCCCCACCGTCCACCGCCGCGCCTCCCCCCTCCGCGGCGCCTGCTCTCACCGATCACCTCCTGCAGCTCGTAATCGTCCCTGTTGATGGACCAGGGCAGGGCGCTCGAGTCCTCGGACATGACGGCGGCAGCGGCTCGCGGTCCTCGCTCAAACTCGCTGACCTCGCTCGTCTCCTCGCCGCGCGTCTCCCCACCCCCACCAGCCGCCGCCGCGCCCCCACCAATCGTCTCTCAACAGCCACGGGTCGGACGGCGCCGGGGCGCGGGGTCACCGCGCAGCAGAGTGGCGGGGGCTCGGAGCTCCGGCGGACCTCGCCTCCTGCTCCTCTGTGTCCGGCACTGCCCGGCCCAGCCCACGTCCTGTCCTCGGCCTCCGCAGCACCAGCGACAGAAGCTTCGCCTGGGCCCAGCCCCTCTGTCCCGCCCTCACCCCAGCCCCACACACGGGCCAAACTTTCCCTTCTCCCTCCACCTGCCGACACGCAGCGCGCTGACGTCACCGCGCCGGTCACGCCTTACCTCGGCCCCGCCTCCGGCCGCCATCTCCAGTGTGGCTGGCTATAAAGTAGGCGAGCTGGAAACCCGAGAAGGTGGGATTTGGCGGTGGAAGGGAAGAAATGCTTAGGAAGGGGTTCATCAAAGGCATCGAAAGGCCGTAAGAGAGCCTAAAGTAGCACAGAGGCAGTAGCCACACTAAGCATGGCGACGAAAGGGCAGCCAAGTAAAAGGGGCAGAGCCTCTTCTAGCGCCTGGGGCACGTTGCTGTCTCCGTCGTCGCATTCATTGGTTAGTTTGAGAAGGAATCAGAAAAGCAATGTGTGTGGGTGGATGTCAGTCATAAATTGGTCCCGCCTCCAGGCTCTCTGAGCGCTTATCTGTTTGGGTTGCAGCCCTTCAACCTGCTCGTCTTACCCCTTCCTCTGTTCCTCTGGAGTGACGTCACGGCGTGACCGTCACACCCTCGAGACGTGCTAAGGGCTCCGCAGGGTGTGGAGAAGCCCTGAGGGAGCGGCTGGGTGGGGTAGCCCTCGGGTGTGGCCCACTGCCAACTGGGATAAAAGGCTGTGGGCCACCGGACGGAGTGAAACTAGGAGTTTGCCTGGTGACGTTCTCTCAAGGCGGACGTTCTTCTAACGCTTGTCGCGGTGCTGTCTCCCACAGTTCCCTCCTGCATTGGGCGGAGACGAGGTTGTGTCTGTTCGCAGCTTTAGCTCAAATAAGCACCTGCCTTGGGGACTTTGTTTTTTGCCCCCTGACAGGGCTTGGGCGTACAAGTGAGACGGACCCACGAGTTTGGGGGTAGTCTCACGGGCCTTGACTTATGTCACCCCGCCCCCACACCACTGAACTTCAGTTTTCTCCGTTTGACTACGTTAGGGCCGTTGGAGAAATAAGCGAGCTGAAGACTGAACATACTTGGTAAATTAGATTTTTAAAAATAGTAGCAGGGATAGGGCTAGGTGCGAAAGTGTCGTAGGTTGGACACCTTTCAGTCCAATGGCAGTCATAAGGAAGAGACCTTGGGCCGGATACGTTGGCTCACACTTGTAATCCCAGCACTTAGGCTGAGGCGCGTGGGTCACCCTAGGTCGGGAGTTCAAGACTAGCCTGGCCAAGATGATGAAACCCCGTCTCTGCTAAAATACAAAAAATTAGCTGGGCGTGGTGGCGGGCGCCTGTAATCCCAGCTACTTGGGAGGCTGAGGCAGGAGAATTGCTTGAACCCGAGAGGTGGGGGTTTCAGTGAGGAAGAGACCTTCGCCGAGGCCCGGCTGACACGAAGCAGGGACCCCTTTTAGGGCCTGTAGGCCCCTAACCATAGAAATAAATCAAAATCTTGAGTTTCTTCAAGAGAAACTCTAGGCACTTAGCTAGCCTTGAAAAGTTAATAAGCAGCTTGATAAGCAAGAAGGTGGTAGTAACTTAAAATAACCAAAGACACTAAAATAACTGGATGTCTGGTTCCCTGTAAAAACTAAAGATAACATCAACACATGTCCCTGAGTTGTTTTTTAGAAACCTAGACCCCCACCAAATGGATCTGCTGACGCATAGACCTCAGAGAAGGGGGAGCTGAGGACTGAACTATGACTGCTGGTTTTGTTGTTTTCTCGTTGTTGTTTCTCTAAGTTTCTAACTCCTGAAGAAGGTCATGCCCACAAGCCATAGCTAAAATTCTTTTTTTTTTTGAGACAGAGTTTCGCTCTTGTTATCCAGGCTGGAGTGCAGTGGCGCAATCTCGGCTCACCGCAACCTCCACCTCCTGGGTTCTGGCAATTCTCCTGCCTCAGCCTCCTGAGTAGCTGGGACTACAGGCACGCGCCACAATGCCCAGCTAATTTTTTGTATTTTTAGTAGAGACGGGGTTTCACCGTGTTGACCAGGATAGTCTCGATTTCTTGACCTCGTGATCCACCCGCCTCGGCCTCCCAAACTGCTGGGATTACAGGCCTGAGCCACCGCGCCGGCCCGCTAAAATTCTTTTCTCCTGATCCGAAATTTTTAGAACAAAGCTTCACCTCCTGAACCAGTCGCAAGTCAGAAAATCTTTGAATCCACCTATGACCTGTGAGCTCCTGCTTGGAGATGTCCTGCCTTTTTAGGTCAAACCAATTTATAACCTCTGTGTATTGATTTATGACTTTACTTGTAACTTCTGCTTTTCTGAAAATATCTCCATCTTTAGAAATCGTCTCCTGCAGCTGGGTGCGGTGGCTCACGCCTATAATCCTAACACTTTAGGAGGCTGAGGCAGGTGGATTGCCTGAGCTCCGGAGTTTGAGACCCCGTCTCTACTAAAAAATCCAAAAAATGTGCTGAGCTTGTCAGTGTGTGCCTGTAGTCCCAGCTAATCAGGAGGTGAGGCAGGAGAATGGCTTGAACCCAGGAGGCAGAAGTTGCAATGAGCCGAGATCGCACCATTGCACTCCAGCCTGGGCAGCTGAGCGAGACTCTGTCTCCAAAGGAAAAAAAAATCCTTTCCTGCAAGCTGTGGAAGTTCAGGTCTTAAAAGATGAGCTAACCCAATTCTCTCCTTTCTTGGTGCCCTGCCTTTCTACTGCAGCAAAACCTCTGCGTGGCTATCTGGTGTTACTGCCCTAGGCAAGTAGACCTTAGTTTGGTTCTGAAACACCACCAAGCACTGGAAGGTCTGTGCCGAGCCCTGTTGCGGGAGGTCCACTGACCATGAAACCAGTCAACTAGAAGCTACTGGCAGGTTTCCACTTGGTTGGTAGGATTGGAGAACATTTCATGAAGAAGGTAGCATTTGTACCAGACCTTGCAAAGTTAACATGATTTCAACAGGTGGACATTGAGAGGACAGAATAGTCCAGGCACAGCAAAGGTGCCACCGTTCCAGAAAGCATAGCACAGGCCTTGCTGTAAGTGGTTTCAGCCATTGCTACTGACACTTTCTTGTAACTATGTTCTGCCTTTTTCTTTTTGCAGGGAGGAGAGGGATGGGATCAATGTATCCAAAAGGAGCTAAACCTGATGGTAAGAATTAGCCTCAAGGTTTGTACAAATAGAAAGATCTATAAACCAGAAATTCTTGGGGTTGTTGAGCTGTGTGACCCATGGACAGACTTCATATTGTTTGTTTGTTTGCTCCCAGGCACAGTGGCTTACACCTGTAATCCCAGCATTTTGGGAGGCCCAGGCGGGTAGATTACCTGAGGTCAGAAGTTTGAGACTAGCCTGGCCAACATGGTGAAATCCCATCTCTACTAAAAATACAAAACTTAGCCAGGCATGGTGGCAGGTGCCTGTAATCCCAGGAACTCAGGAGGCTGAGGTAGGAGAATCTCTTGAACCCAGGAGGCAGAGGTTGCAGTGAGCCAAGATTGTGCCACTGCACTCCAACCTTGGTGACAAAGAGTGAAACTCCATCTCCAAAAAGAAAAAAAGAAATTATATATATAATAGGATGTACTTCAGGGAGAGATTTTGGCAACCTTCCTCCTTTCTTCTCCTTCCCCAGTGAATAGGAGCTACTAATCTAATAGTGAAAATTTAAGATGTTAATTGGCCCATGTTCTTGGTAGGCAGGGTCACCAGTGGATTCTGTTCTGCCTCCTCCACACATGTAGCTTGATGGATTTGTTGAGCCAGAACCTGCTCTGCAGAGCCCCTTATTTCATTTCTCCTGTCTCCTTGATTTTTTCCATGTAGCGTGATAGAGGTTAGGATCCTGTGATTTGAATGAGCAAGGAATTGGTGGCTGTTTAATGCCAGAAATCCAAACCTCAACCCCATTCTCAGCCTATAAAGTATCTTCCATGGGAAAGAGAGTATTGTCATAAACACCGAGTATACAGTGGTGACCAAAGCAGACTCAGTTTCTGTTTTCAGGAAACAGTCTGATAGAAAACAGTAAGCAACTAAGCAAATCATGTAGGAAAAAGCAAGTATACCGTGACAGAGAATAGTTAGGAAGCCAGCCATGTGGTAAGTACCTTAAGCAACACAGGTTTGGACTGTGAGGTCTACTCATAATAATACATGGATTTTCTTCTGTTTCTGCCACCCCTGAGACAGCAAGACCAACCAGCCAATCCTTTTCCTCCTTGTCCTCAGCCTACTCAATGTGAACACAATGAGAAGCCCTTTATGATGATCCCCTTCCACCTAATGAATAGTAAATATATTTTCTCTTCCTTAGATTTTTTTAAATTTTATTTTCTGTAGCTTTATTGTAGAAGTACAGTATATAATACATATAACTACAAAATATGTGTTAATCTACTTTATGTTATCAGTAAGACTTCCAATCAACCATAGACTATTAGTAATTAAGTTTTGGGAGAACCAAAGTTATATACATATTTTTGACTGTGTAGGTGATTAGTAACCCTAACGTTCTCATTGTTCAAGGGTCAGTTATACTTTAAACAGGGTACAGTGGGGATTTGGGGCACTTTTTTTTTTTTTTTTTTTTTTT